TTCCAAAGAAATGTTGTAATAATTAATGAAAATAAATAAAATTCATGTGAAAGGACTGGTCGTCATTGTTTTCATGTTATAAAGAGAATATGTATTAGAGTCAAACTCTTACAAGTTTTCAATGCTTAACAGCTCTACCGTCAGCCTTTAGACCAGAATGCCTATAGACAGAATGTAAAAAGTTCCACATGAACTCGTGTATGCATTCAGCTAAAGACTAGGAAGTGCCCGCTACTTCTTCAGGGCAAAGTCTACCTTATAATTTTAGATTCGTGTTAAGCCTTTTTAGTGCTCAAAATTCATGATTTGTTCCGTTTGACAATATTTTTCATTCAAAACTTCATACATCGTACTAATATTTCAGACCTTCAAGGATTTATATATTTTTCAATTTTTACCTTTTTCTGAAAGAATAATAGGACAGTGTTTACCTTTTATACCAAAAATCATCAAAATCTTTCATTTTGAAGTTTACCAAGGAGGACATTAGTAAAACCATCGCATATTTATTCAGCCACATCCAATTTTTCTGTAAAAATGTTAACCCTAGAAACAAGCGGGGACGTCAATATCAAATTCAGAATCTTAGCTCTATCCCTTCAACCAAAACTAAATTTGTTGAATTTTAGGACGCATATCCAAAAAAAAAAAAAATCTACATCTCTTCATCCTAGACACCAATAGTGATCCAAAATAAATACCACTTAGTATTTTTGAGACAATTTTAGTACATATCACCAAAACCACCTCCATATCTCAATACCAGATATCACCATCGAGTTCAATATCAAATTTGAAGATTCCAGCCTTTTCCTTCAGAAAAAAACAAATTTAGTACTAATTAGCACTTTTCGTACAATTATAGTACACATTTTCGAAACCACTTTCATATCTCAATTCCATATACCAAGAGAGACCTCAATCTAAAATTTGAAGATTATAGCCCTAGCCCTATCCGTTCACCCAATTCCAAATTTAGTACTATTGAGTACTTTTCGTACAATTAAAGTACACATTTTTATAACCATTTCAACCTCAGACGCCAACAATGACATCCACAGCAAATTTCAGGATTTCAGCTCTGTTCCTTCACCCAATGCCAAATTTAGTACCATTTAGTATTTTTCGTACAAATGTAGTACTCTTTGCTTATCTCAATGCCACATACCAACACAGACCTCAATATCAAATTTGAGGATTCCAGCCCTATTCCTTTGGACAATACAAACTTTAGTATCATTTGGTGGTTTTCGTATAGGACGCATTTACAAAACCATCTCCATATTTTAACCACAGTCACCAAAAGAAACCTCAATATCAAATTCCAGGATTTCAGCCTTATTCCTTCAAATACTACCAAATTTAGTACTATTTAGTACTTATCACCTCCATATTTAAACCTCGGATATCAAGAGAGACCTCAGTATCACATTTGTGGATTCCAGTTCTAACCCTTTAGTCGCCAACCATATACCAAATTTAGTACCACATAGTATTTTTGAACGACTATACTACATTATTTCATGTATTAACCATAGACACCAACTACAACATCTATATATAATTTTAGGATTTCAGCTCTGTACCTTGCCCCAATACCAAATTTAGTACCATTTAGTAAATTTCGGACAATTATAGTACTCATTCATATCTCAATTCTATATATCAACAGAGATCTTAATATCACATTTGCGGATTCCAGCCCTATCCCTTCATCCAATACCAAATGAAGTACCATTTAATATAGGACGCATTTCCAATTCACCGCTAAATCTCAAACACAGATACAATCATCATTTGAACATCATATTTTAGAATTTATATATATATAAAGAAAGTCCTAAAGTCGGGCGGGGCCGACTTTATGATATCCTACACCACTTTGCTAATTTAGTAGAGCTCCGCATAACAATTAAACGATTTTATGGGAGAATTCAATCATACACGCTATGATTATAATTATAATTTAAAATTCAAAGGACTAAATGTGCCAAAGCATTTGTACCTTTTAAATTCGGACTTGTATTGCCCATTTGGTGCGAAATTAATTTGAAATCATATAAAGATATATATGGGAGCTATATCCAAATCCGAACCGATCTCCATAAAATTTAGCAAAGGTATTTCTGAGCTGCATTTGATATATTTCCCTGAATATCGTTGCCACGGAGTGCATATTACGGCTGTGGGTAACAAATACAACAAATCGGATGAACAATATATATGGAAGCTATAGCTATATCTGAACCGAACCGATCAAATTTGGCATACTACCTTCTAGACTCAATTCGGTGGTATGTGCCAAATTCCATCCCATTTGGACAAATATTAGACGTTTGGTGCACAATAAAAGGTAAATCGGACGATGTTATATATGGGGCATATATCCAAATCCGAACCGATCTCGATAAAATTTAGCAAATGTATTTCTGAGCTGTATTTGATTTATTTCCCCAAATATGGTTGTTACAGAGTGCATATTATGGTTGCGGAGGACAAAAATAACAATTCGGATGAACCATATATATGGGAGCTATAGTTATATCTGAACCGATTTCGATCAAATTTGGGATACTTATTTTCAGGTCTAATTTGGCTGTATGTGAAAAATTCTATACTATTCGGGCTGATATTACACGTTTGGTGCACAATAAAAGGCAAATCGGACGAAGATATATATGGGAGCTATATCTAAATTTTTACCGATTATCTCCATTTTCAATAGAGTTCGTCCTTGGGTCAAGCAAATGATGTGTGCAAAATTTCATCGCGATCGGATAATAAATGCGACCTGCATTTTGTTCACAAGAATACATGGACAGACGGACGGATGGACTGACATTCCAAATTTAGTACTATTTAGCACAGTTCGCACACTTTGTACACGTTTCAAAAAACCGCCTTCATATCTCAATTCAAGATACAAACAGAGTCCTCAATATCAAATTTCTGGATCCCTTCACATACTACCAAATTTGGCCCCGTTTTGTGTTTTTCGTACAAATATTTAACTCATTTCCAAAAAATCAAATTTTCGAATTTTATCTTCATTTCTTTAACCCAATACCAAATATTGTACCGTTCTGCATTTTTTCGTACAATTGTAGTTCACATTCCCGAAACCACCTTCATGTGTCCGGGCTAAGCATGCAAATTTCAGATTTCATGCCTTATCTGTTCACCCAATACCAAATTGTATTAAATATAGTACTATTTAGCACTTTTCGTGCACTTGTAGTAAACATTTCCAAAACCATCTCTTTTATCACAAATCTACCACCAAAAGGATCTCAATACACATTTCCCGAATTTCAGCTTCATCCGTTCACCCTGAACTAAGCCATTTTAAATTTAGTACAATTTAATACAGTTCGTACACTTAGTATATATTTTAGGTGTTTAGTACCATTATGGAACTTTTCGAACATCTAAAGTTTGAATTCTTTGGTACTTCTGTTCAAGACTTCATTATTGACTCTTTATCCAAATTTCAGTACTCTAGCGCATTCCTGTTCAATATAAAGTGTCAAAAATTTTAGTACATTTTAGTACTTTTTGTACCCTTCGGTACGAATTTCCAAAAACTCAGACTAATGACACCAAGACTTACCCTCGTGTAAAATTAGAATTTTCTAGCTTCAGCAGTTACGTTTCATCTCCTTAGGTCATTAATAGGTCAATGCGAAAGAGAGAATTATCAAATATCCATCAACGAATGACCTTCGCCTCATAAAGAAACATTTTCAAATAAAAACTACAATTTTTATACCCTCCACCATACTATGGAGGGTATATTAACTTTGTCATTCCGTTTGTAACTCCTCGAAATACTCATAGCAGACCCAACAAAGTATATATATTCTTGATCAGCGTAAAAGTCGATTTAGCGATGTCCGTCTGTCTGTCTGTTGTAATCACGCTATCTTTCGAATGAATTGAGATAGACGGCTAAAATTTTGCACACATGTTTATTTTTCCAGTAGGCAGGTTAAGTTCGTAAATGGGCCATGTAGGTCCACGTTTTCATATAGCCCCCATATAACGGTACCTCCCTATATTCGGTATTTTGATGATTTTAGCGAGATTATTCACGGGAATTGTTTCAAATTTGGATACTACAAAATGGATACTACACCTTAAGACGGAAAATTGTCTGTGCAGGTCCACGTCTTCGTATAGCTTCCATATAACGGTACCTCCCGATATTCGGTGTTTTGATGCTTTTAGCGACATTGTTCACGGGAATTGTTTCAAATTTGGTATTTGATACTACTACAGCCTATGATACTATAGCCTATGACAGAGAATTGTCTGTGCAGGTCCACGTCTTCATAAAGCCCCCATATAACGGTACCTCCCAATATTCGGTATTTTGATGATTTTAGCAACATTATTTACCGGAATCGTTTCAAAATTGGTGTTTGAAGTTCGTTATGGGAACTACAGTCTGTGACAGAAAATTGTCTGTGCGGGTCCAGGTCTTCGTATAGGCCCCATATATCAGTACCTCCCTATATTCGGTATTTTGACGATTTTAGGTACAATACCCACCGAAATTGTTTGAGATGTGGTATTTGAAGTTCGTAATGGATGCTACAGCCTGTGACAGAAAATTGTCTATGCTGGTCCAGGTCTTCGCACAGCTCCGATATAACGGTACCTCCCTATATACGATATTTTGACGATTTTAGCTACATTATTCACCGTTTATTTCAAGTTTCGAATTTGAATATGGTAATGGCTTATGACAAACAATGCCTATGTATCTCCACGTCGTAAGACCCCAATATAACGGCTATATTCGGTATTTTTAAAATTTTTGCAGAATTTTTTAAGGATTTTATTTTTTAAAATTTGCACATTCGTTGCAAATGGTGGAGGGTATTAAAAGTTCGGTCCGGCCGAACTGCTTTTTAACTTGTTTTTACTAAATTCATCATTTCCCAGAGAAGTAAAAAATCAACACTTTTACCATATTCAAATTTTATTAACCTTTGACCTCATTTGCATCCAAAGTATAAAACAGCTTCCCCGGCTGCATCATCAACATCTTCTCCAAGATCACCCGAACCCTGAGGATGACATCCGGCCAGCGGCTCTTGGGGTGCCTTGGCAATGGTCTCCTCATAGTACAGATTCATATCGGGTCTCTCCCATATACTGTGGACCCATTCAATTTGATAATCGTATTTGGCACACGAGCAGAATTTGCGAGAACGATGGCATACTGGACACTTCGCCTGTACCGTTTTGCCATGAATAAATTTCCTTACCGATTTACGTTTGCAACAATGTGGGCAGGTGTGGGGGCGCTTGGGCGCCTCCTGTTGCTGCTGCTGTACTGAGCACGGTGGGGGTTTGGTATAAATCAAATGACCACGATTCTTGGTACAGAAACAACAATTGCACTCCCCACTTACAGGTTTCGACTTTCGTGACTGCATGCGATCGTAGAATTTCTTATAGATCACCTTAATTTTTGCCTCCACGCCACGTTGTTCATCACAGCTCAGGCCATCGAATTGGGCATAGGCTTCGGCAGTTTTCTTAGCTGCATGGACATAGAGACATTCTTCGGAGAATGAGGGTTTATCGTTCGCTTCCCTACAACCCTCCTCTTCATGTGGCCGATAATAGAATGCCTTAAAGCCCCGCTTAATTATGCTATAAGCCAAATGGGCATCCACCCGATTCATGAGACATTTGCGTCCCAATTCATGAAAGATGTCTTCCTTGCGTAAACGTTTCGTTGGCTTGGCATCCAGGCAATAGCAAACTAAATCGTAATGCAGGAAAGCATAGGTGATAATGTCCACAGATGTCTTGGCCTTACACTCGTGTATGCCACACAGGATCATTATTTGGGCCAGACTGTGTGACAGATCCAAGAGGTTTTCCAAAAACATCGAAGAAACATTCAAATCATCCCGCACACATTCACAGTCGATATTTTGATCGACAACGCCTAGATGAGCATGCCGCTGACATTCACGATGTTTGCAGGTACTGCGACAATTGAAATTCGGCAGAGATTGCATTTTTGAGGATTTACTTTTAATTTTGGCATTCACTTAAAATTTTGAAAAATATTCGTCAAATTTTTTTCGGTTTTAAGAAAAATATTAAATTTGAAAAACCCTTGTCATTTTTGCTAGATATGTGTATTAGGAAGGGTCGAAACATGGCCTCTATAAGGTCTACTAGCAAGCCCATCTGACAAGTAATGAGTGAGAATTCTCAAATTTCTAGAATTTGGTTTGGCTAATGGAGTTTAGGATTGATGTACCAAATGGTTTTTGAAAATTCGAACTTAAAGGTTATGAAAAGTTCTAAAATGGTACTAAACTTCTGAAATGGTACATTTTGGTGTTATATATTTTCGGATAGAGGTAAGAACTTGAAATATTGTATGAAAATCAAGTTTGGAAAGTATGTTTAATATAAGAAGGTTCTTTAAGGTTGGAAATGTGCAGGGAGTGTGCGAAATACACTAAATGGTACTAGATTTTGGTTTAGGATGCACAGATGAAGCTGGAATTTTTGAAATTTTGTATTGGGGTTCTTGCTGGTAATTGATTTGTAATAAAGGGGTGGTTTTGGAAATCTGTACTACAAGTGCACAAAAAGTACTAAATAGTACTATATCTTGTACAATTTGGTATTGGACGAACAGATAGTGCTTGAAATCTAAAATTCGGAATAGTACCCACTGCTAGTGGGTAAAGTTGAGATTTGAAGGTGATTTAGGAAATACGTACTAAAAACTACTAAATGGTATTAAATTTTACCTCACCCAAATGGTAAGGGATTGAGTTAGATGTTTAAAATTCGACATTAGAATTAAAATATTGAAATTTAGTATTAAGATAGCTATTGATTCTCTTAGGTTGAATTTTGCAGGTGCTTTAGAATATGTGTACTTTAATTGTACAAAATATACCAAATGGTACTAAATTTGGTATTGGGCGAAGGAATAGAGCTGTAATCCCCAAAATTAGTGTTAAGGACTCTGTTTGTATCTTGAATTGAGATATGAAGGTGGTTTTGGAAATGCGTACTATAATTCAACGAAAAGTACTGAATGGTATATACGAAGACCTGGACCAGTACAGACAATTTTCTGTCATAGGAACTTCAAATACGATATTGGAAACAATTCCGGTTAATAATGTGGCTGAAATCATTAAAGTACGAAATATAGGGAAGTACCGATATATGGGGACTATACGAAGACCAGTACCTGTATAGAAAATTTTTTGTCACAGGCTTAGTATCCATTAGGAACTTCAAAATACGAAATTAGAAACAATTCCGGTGAATATGTCGCTAATACTATCAAAATACGCAATATAGGGAGGCACCGTTGTTTGGGCGCTATACGATATCGTGGACCTAAAGGGTGATTTTTTTGAGGTTAGGATTTTCATGCATTAGTATTTGACAGATCACGTGGGATTTCAGACATGGTGTCAAAGAGAAAGATGCTCAGTATGCTTTGACATTTCATCATGAATAGACTTGGTCTACATAATCGACCAAGTGAGCAAACAATTAATGCGATTGTGACCAAGTTTCGCACTCAGTTTACTTTATTGGACATTAAACCAACCACACGAATGCGTACAGTGCGTACAGAAGAGAATATTGCGTCTGTTTCTGAGAGTGTTGCTGAAGACCGTGAAATGTCGATTCGTCGCCGTTCGTAGCAATTGGGTTTGTGTTATTCGACCACTTGGAAGATTTTACGCAAAGATCTTGGTGTAAAACCGTATAAAATACAGCTCCTGCAAGAACTGAAGCCGAACGATCTGCCACAACGTCGAATTTTCAGTGAATGGGCCCTAGAAAAGTTGGCAGAAAATCCGCTTTTTTATCGACAAATTTTGTTCAGCGATGAGGCTCATTTCTGGTTGAATGACTACGTAAATAAGCAAAATTGCCGCATTTGGAGTGAAGAGCAACCAGAAGCCGTTCAAGAACTGCCCATGCATCCCGAAAAATGCACTGTTTGGTGTGGTTTGTACGCTGGTGGAATCATTGGACCGTATTTTTTCAAAGATGCTGTTGGACGCAACGTTACGGTGAATGGCGATCGCTATCGTTCGATGCTAACAAACTTTTTGTTGCCAAAAATGGAAGAACTGAACTTGGTTAACATGTGGTTTCAACAAGATGGAGCTACATGCCACACAGCTCGCGATTCTATGGCCATTTTGAGGGAAAACTTCGGAGAACAATTCATCTCAAGAAATGGACCGGTAAGTTGGCCACCAAAATCATGCGATTTGACGCCTTTAGACTATTTTTTGTGGGGCTACGTCAAGTCTAAAGTCTACAGAAATAAGCCAGCAACTATTCCAGCTTTGGAAGACAACATTTCCGAAGAAATTCGGGCTATTCCGGCCGAAATGCTCGAAAAAGTTGCCCAAAATTGGACTTTCCGAATGGACCACCTAAGACGCAGCTGCGGTCAACATTTAAATGAAATTATCTTCAAAAAGTAAATGTCATGGACCAATCTAACGTTTCAAATAAAGAACCGATGAGATTTTGCAAATTTTATGCGTTTTTTTTAAAAAAGCTATTAAGCTCTTAACAAATCACTCTTTATATAGGGGGGTAAAGTACTCTGGGGGAACTCCCTGTGCGGATTTTCATGCAATTTCATTGAAAAATTGGCGACAACCATAAAAATACCGAATATCGGGGATATCTTTATATGGGGGCTATATGATATCGTGGACCGATATAGTCCATCTTCAAACTTGACCTGCCTGCAAAAGACTGTCAAAGACTGACCTGTGCATAATTTTTGCTTCCTATCGCTTAGAATTTAAGAATTTTACGCTGATCAAGAATATATACACTTTGTAGGGTCTAAAATTATTATTTCGATAAGTTACATACGGAATGACGAACATAATATACCCTCCATACTATGTATTGTGGAAGCTAGAAAAAGGCCTGACACGAATTCTAGTTCTTTGGTGATTTTCGCATGATTGTTTTATATTTGACTGGTAACCACAAATTACTCTCTACGCAATATTGAGCTAAATTTCTAATCGTGTTTATACAAACCAATACCGCTCTTAATCCCTCATCGTATTATGGTTCGACCAAAGGAGAAATATTTTCGTGTCCTGTTCTCAATATCGTTCTCTTTTCACTTATCTAGAATATTTGTAAATTTTCGTTTCTAAATTTATATTCCCGCGACTGATTTACTGAATGAGTGGCTACATTTATTTTCAGTTTTTGCAAAAAAAAAAAAAAAACTCAAATTCAAATGGCTGTTTATTCACAAACACTCAACACACACACACATAGATACCACCTGAATAATTTATCCCTGCAATGCTGCATTAATGACGCAATTATTCAACTTGTTGTTCATGGAAATTAATGGGTTTGTGATATTTCTTCACATAAATTGCCATCATTTATTTCAACGTTTAATGCCATTCTTCTGTAAAATAGTCTATAGCCTTCGTTCTCTTTCGCTCTTATGAAGCGTAACCTACCAGGTACAAAGTATAAATAAACATAAAAAATTTATGGAAAAAAATCTCATTTTACATCCGACGGATGAAGGCAAACACGTCATATGCAAATGACTTGCTGTCAGAGATTGAGTGAAAAGAGGACACTGCCATTGGCTTCGGAGGAAAATATTAATGTGGGTCTGCGTGGAAGTGAGTTATTTAATGCATAGCTAAATGGAGGTTTAATAAATTGCGTCATTTGGTTAATGATGCAATTAACTCTAATTTCTAGACAATTTGAATGACATTTATCCCTCATTTTCCTTGTTCCTTTTTCCGTTGCGTCAAGAAATATATTTTCTTTATCCTTTTTTAAGGACTTTACCCAATCCAATGTTTTTTTTTCGTTCGAATGGTATCAACGAAAAGATATAAATTTGAAATGTTATCAAAAGTCACCTGTCCGTGCAGTGATAAAATTGCCTTTAAAGCTCTCTCTCGTTTTTTTCTCATGAAAAGAAAAAAATGTCGGAACATTAATCCTTTCGGATTGTCAGGCTTATTATATGCATGAATTGCGAGGAATTGTATTTTGTGGAATTAAACATGTCATTCGAACACATGTGCATATGTATGTGTCAAGGATAACATTATTGTAAAACAATAGTCGATTTTAAGGTTATATTTATAAAGTGTATTTTTCTAATATATTTTAGAAATATTTAACAAATTAATTACAAAAATGTTAACCATTAAAAGGAAACAGAAAACTGAATTGCTTACTCCTGTAATTCAGTTAATAAAAGAGGAATTAATAGGTATTTTTAAAACGGAGGCTGATGAAGAGTATTTTAGGTTCCGAAAAAGGTGGACTAGCTTTTAAGCTTTTAGCTTTTAGTTTTACTAAAATTTTGAATTTTTGCACGAGGGTCAGTTTTGGTGCCTAGGCGTGTAATAAGGCTGCGTTTTGGAAATTAGTATTAAAAGGGTACGAAAAGTACTATTATGTACTAAAATCGAATAATTTATATTGGACAAACGGAATGAGCTGAAATTTGAAATGAGGCTCGTTGATGGAGCTCGCGATAGATGTACCCAAGGTTTTTTGGAAATTCGAACTTTAAGGTTACGAAAAGTTCTAATATGGTACTAAACTTTTAAAATGATACAATTTGGTACTATGTGCAAGGATAGAGCTAAAAACATGAAATTTGGTATGAACATCGAGGTTCGAAAGTAAGTTTGATATGTGAAGGTGGTTTTGGAAATGTGTAATAAGTGTGCGAACTGTACTAAATGGTACTAAATATGGAAGAGTGAGCGGATGATGATTGGGATCTCTTTTGATGGTAGGTCTGTGATAAATTGATGGTTCCGGATATGTGTTCTACAATTGAACAAAAAGTACCAAAGAATACTATATTTAGTGCAATTTGGTACTCTGTGGAAAAAGTGTTCGAAATATGAAAATAAGTATGGGGATGACTGTTAGTGGGTAGGGTTGAGATTTGGAGGTTGCTTTGGAAATACGTACTAAAAGGTACCACTGTTTATGTGTAGCTGGACACATGGAGGTGGTTTCATGTGTAGCTGGACACATGGAAGTGGTTTTG